GGGCAGGTGCTCCTGGGGCTTAAGGGGTCTGATCCTGCACAAGAATTCCTGGGCTGCTTGTGTTCTCGTGCCATAAACCAAACAGACAGCTGCCACAACGGTGCCAGAAACTATTACCACCTTTGTCACAGCCACCAATTTGGGGCATTTCTGGTATGATAAGGGGTATGGACTTCTGTTTGCTTGGCCTTTGTGCCACCATAAAAAAATTATGGCAGCACAAAGGCATTGTCTATTTCTACCCCTTGTGATGGTGATGACCCTACTCATAATCTGTGCTGCCTTTTTGCAGCTGAGCTCTGTTCCCTTATGGCAGAAGAGCAGGAACTGCCTGCAATTACCTGCATTTTCCAGCCACCATGAGCAGGAGCTCCTGTGGTTTCAGGGGTCCCATCCTGTGAGAAAATGGCCCCAGGGTGCCTCACCCTGACATGGGGCACGCATCTGAAAGCAGGAGTTTCCTGTTTTCAGGCAGGTGCCTCAATGTGGGGCTCAGCACCATGATCCACATGCTGAGGGAAACCCCAGTAGGGAATTCCTGGGGCATGAGCTTGTGAGCACAGAGAGGGGGGACTCCCATAGGGTGTTATTAACTGCAGTTAATAGACTATTACAAGTGCTAACAACACTCTCTTTCACCGTCCTCCCCCCTCACACAGTCACTCCTGAAGCTCTCAAAACAAGGGTGGTTAAGAAAAGAACCAGACATTTTAGGAGATGCAGTAATAGAAAGCAACACTCATTAAATTCTATTTGAAGAAATTTCTTTGTTACATATTTACATTGAAGTCAAGACAGCAGGAGTCAATTGTAAGGGACTGAACAGAATGGGGAAGAAAAAAAAATTAAATGTGATTCTGAGGTGGGAGATGTTACCAATTCAGCCATAAAATAGGACAGAAAGGATCAAAGAGGTAAGTTGAGCAAAATGCTTACAGACAAGAACAACTGTTCTTTATGTAGATTAATAATAAAAAGAGCAAAACAAAACTGAGACTATGAGCCAATTCTTTAAGATAACACACTGTTTTCAATACAGAAAAATGCTATGAATTGAAACTTAGCATATAAGCATATTTACATCCTGAGAAACCTGTAAAAGGATATGGCCATCTTAAAATATTATTAAAGCAATTCACATCAGAGAAATCTGCCAGTACAGATGGCATAGGACAGGGTCAAGTTTTACATTCCATCAACTAAATAAATCAATCCAACTTCCTTGACATATTGTGACTGCGACCATTTCTGAAAAATGTGAACTAAAATTATTTTTTCTGATTTCTTCCTGGGCTTTTTTTGGCCTGATTTAAAAACATATGAATAGATAAATCACTCACTTTAAAAGACCTATGAGTTATACTTAAAAAGTGGGTTTGTGTATAGTTAACACTAGAACAAATAATTCCACAGAGTATAAGAATGACCCCCTCCCCTCTATGCTTGACACCTTTCTTGATACAAATTGCCATTACCTTTCTGAAGCATTTGGAAGACTAGGCTATGCCTTACTTCAAAATAAAGTCAATACAATTTAGATAAACAAGCCTATACCCTGCCCTTTGGTCATACCTACATCTCATGTCATTGCCTCACCATTACTCATTGTAATACAATGAATGTTGAAGCATCAAAATAAAGATGCAGCCCACCTTCAGAATTCTCTTGCGACCATACCATCTTTTAATCTCATTTTAATGTCGTTATTTATGCATGACTTTCTGCATACATGTGCACGATGAGCAGATAAAGTTGTCAAGTGAAAGAAAAGAGAAGCAGAACTCAAAGATAATGAGGAAGGCTGATGCCAGTCTGGGAACACACTGGAAATAAAGATATAAGGCCAAGCTCCAACCTCATACACATGACTTACCTCGCTGTTGCATTTCAAAATACCTGCTGCTGTGCTAGTCTGCACACAGTAATGGTATTTTTCAGACATACATTTAACATATTTGGGATTAGAATGTGGCTTGAAGTTCAGGAGCTATTGCTGTACGTTCCCTAGTTATTAACGTGGGTGTTGAATTTTGGGATCTTTCCTTTCTCAGCTCCCATAAACAACACCTTAATTCAAACCATTCCCTGCAGCACACAAAGATATAGATTTAGTCTTCATTGGAAATTTGCCAGTTCCAAACAATGTAACCAAATTTTACACCAGTGAAGGAGATTTGTAGTTTACTCCAATCTGAAGCAAGGACAAGTTGCACCAGTCCAAAGCCCAGCTTTCCTTGTCTTTACTTGGGGTTTTCAGTTAGTGCAGCTATAGCTGTGACTTCCAGTGGGTAACTCTACCACTACAGAAAAAAAGTCTATTAGGAAAAGCTAGAAAGATTCAAGAAAAAAAGTAAATTTATATAGCAGTTTCAGTGAATAGATCTTAAAATGTTATTCAGAAAATTAACAAACATTGCCTCAAAATTACTTTAAGTATTATTCATATTATACAGATGAAAAAACTAAGGTGCAAAGAGGTTAAGAGGCATGTCCAAAATGTAACAGAGCTGGAATAATGTCCCACATCTCCTGATTCCCAGTCCTCCCAATACTGCTTTCTCCCTCCCTTTTACCTTACAGTATGGGCATCAATAATTAATATATTTATATTATCTGGTAATTGCAATTACTTTCCCAAGTCAGAGAGTATGCCCCTTTCTCCCTGTCATTCTCTATCTGCTCATCTGGAGTAATAGGCAGAAGAAAAGGATTCAGAAAAAAACAAACAGATAACAACTGTGCCCGACTCAAGCTTGGAGGATCACTTGAGTTGGCTCATCACTGTGTTTTTAGCTATTACTTACCATCAGTGATATTTTGTTGCACAGGCCAAATATTCACTTTGATAAAAATAGATTTTCAGCATTAATTCTCCAACAAATGAAACAAAATATTTTGCATCAGTTTGAAGGCAAATTAATTCAACAGTAATTGCTTGGATTCTGATAGCTAAGAAAAACAAAAACAAACTTACAAATGATTTGGAACCATCTAGCTACGCATTTGGTTAGTATATGTGACTACACAATGTTATCACTTTCTCTTCTCCTTCCCTCACTCTCTTTCCTCGTTTGTTGTCCCGCACTTATTATGTGCTGAAGTAATTTAAGCCCTGACCCTGAAATAATTTAACGTGCAATATACTTATGTAGGAAATATGAATTTTCTTGATTCTATGCATTTGTTGACTCCAACAGGAATGCACACAAGCGATGAAATCAAGCCTCTTGTGTGAGGCCTCATCTAAACAAAAACTGATTTAATTAAATCATGTTCCTGTATTCACATTTTGAGGGGAGGAGCACAAGAACAGGTTAGCACAGAGGTTTTCAACCTTTTTTTTAGTAAGTGTACCCCTAGGGCAAGCGGCTGGATGCTGAGCAGGGGGGAGAGGGAGCGGTGAGTGGCCAGATGCAGAATGGAGGCATGGCAAGTGGCGGCAGCACAGCGTCTGTGCAGCCTGGCTCTTGCCCCACCCCGGCCCTCCTGCTGTGATGCAGTGGTGTGGGGTGGCGGCGCTCCATCCCCACCCACCACTGCATACCCCCTGGGACCTTTCAAAGCATCTCCAGGGCTATGCACACCCTCAGTTGACAACCCCTGAGTTAGCACGAGATAAGCTAGGGAGTAAATTTACAGTCCATCAACTTCAAGGAAGATGTGGGCAGTTGAGGAAGAGTGAAGAGGAGTGCAACAAAAATGAGTAGAGACCTGGGAAAAATAACTTATAAGGAAAGGCTGAAAGAACTAGGATTGTTTAAGTTCAGTGAAGAGAAGATGATGGGGGATTTTTCTGTTCATTGAGCCAAAAAATTCTAAAAAGCACAGAAATATTTCGAATTTTTGATGCTCTGAAAAACCCACAAAAACATTCTGTCGTAACCTAAAATGTTTAAGCCAAAATGAAGTGTTTTAAGTTATTTAATCCTCTCTCCAAGCTTGGTGAATTCCTAAGTGAAAAATGAGGTTTCAAAGTGAAAAGTAAAAAAAATTCAATTTGAAAAGCCTGAACTGGTATATTTTATTTCCAAATCCCTCTTCCCTTTTTAGTTGACAATATTTGCC